ATATAAATCTTACTTTGATATATATTCAATTCTGATAGATCTAGTGTTAATGAAGTTTAATGAAATATTTATTTCATTTGACCTAGAATTTTAAACTTTTCATTCCACTTCGAAAAATTAGTCATACAAGGGGCCATGTAACGGGTGGTACAACCGAGTACAAGGTGATTCTACTTAAAAAAGTAAGTCGAAAATGTACAACAACATTTTTTCATCTAAGCCTTTGTTTTCGAGAAAATAAACTTTGTAGATTTGCTGGATACGCGTGCAATTGAATAAGGCTTAACTAGTCCGTCTGTTCATTGCATTCCGTTTCTACTTACTACGAACGACGAATACACGCGTTTCAGATGAATGTTCAAGTCAATTTTCTCCAAAACGAAGTCTCAATTGAAAGAATTTTATTTTATATTTTCGACTTATTTTCTCACGTATAATCCCGTTGTATCACCAGTGTGATAAGAACTTTGATTTTTGTTTGATAGGAACAGCGAATGTTAGATTCTGAACATCTATAGTTGTGGATATATTGATTCACGTGAATGGAGAACGAAACATTCGGTCCAATATTTCTGATAGATCACGGATATCTAAACCGATATCCGATCGGCAATAGGAAGCGATGTGCTTTTTCGTTCGATGTGAATCGGCCTTTATATGGGATGCGTGAGTGAGGCCAAACAAGGACGCAAGCATCGATTCTGACCTAACCACCTCCGCCCCAGTCCCGAGCCTAACTCCAACAACTCACCCCGTTTCCACTTTCAACCACCTCTTATCCCTTCCCGGTCCCGACCATCTATGAGCCCTGCAGCCTTCTTCCAGCTTTCTTTCCTACAGCTCCTTGAATATTCGTCGCAACCTTTCTCTGAACACCAAACAAGACAGAATAGATTACAATACTATCTTGAGGCTCCAAACGTAACAGATTAAACGACTAAATGGAAGCAGCTAGAAAGAAATCTTATCGCTTTAACATGTTATTCTGGTCACCTGTGACCGGCGTTATAGAATCAAATTAGCAAACAATCGATTCCTAACCAATACTTTTTACAGTAGAACGTGGATTACCTGAACTAATAAACAAATTTGTTTTAATATGGGGATTTTTCGGATAATTATTCCAAAGGAAGCAAAATTTAAGAGCGATTCATGGTCATTCGTTTAAACCTAAAACCTTTAATAAATTAAACAAAATTCTACTGGATGATCGTTTCTGTATATTAATAGGAATTTGCATAAAAATTAACGATCTAGTTAATAGTGATATTTCAGCATCCTACCGGCGCTGGACTGACCATTATACCCCAGGGAACACAAATTCCCGATGTTTATGATCAATAAAATAGTGACTTTAATACACGAAATTGCTCGTTAGTGCTGCGATCGATAGTGCTGTTCTCGTTGGGCATTAGACCGGCCTTCTGGCAGCTCGCTTATACACCGTCTGGTATCAAAACTTTTCTGCTTAACATGAATTCACATAGATTGTGTTTTTTTTTCCTTTTCCATCGATGTTCATTTCCATCTACTTTCGACATCTTTGGATCGGTTCGCAGTGAAATGTGCCAAACGACCTTCGAAATCGCGGCGGGAGGTTCGGCGGGGGGTAGTATCGGCGAACGAATCGACAATCGATGCTGTCTAGAATTTCCGAAAAATTTTCGGCAACATGCTCTAGGTGTACACTTTGATCAATAATACGCCTGGCGGTTCGCGTTGGACTGGTTCCGATGCGAGCCAGTAGAGCATGCGCCTGATAAACATTAAGGGATCCTGTTGTTGCCACTTCGCCACGGAAACCGATTAATCGTTTCACGTTCGCGCGAGACCCTAATACTGATGTCTGTTTGGCCCCGTTCGTTCCATTGATTTTATTTGGTAAACGGTGCTGAGCTTACCTTCCCTCCGAGTCACAGAATCACTCTGATCATGATGTTTCAGGCAGTGGAATTAACACGTTGACTGCAACAGTGAATAAGGCCGTACGTAGTTAGACACACGTGATTTCATTTTTAAGTTAAAAATTAGTGAAAATATATGTATAGTTAATAGAGGTTGTTGGTTTTGTTGTACAATGATACTGCAATGTTAATTTTACGTAAAAATTTAATAACGGTATTTAAATAATCCAGCCTCTTTGCAATATACGTGTCACTTATATTCGAGTGACGTGGCAGTCAAAGTGTGAATGGAGTAAGTACTGATAACTTATATGTTGGAATTGAAGTATTTGTTAAAATGAAGTCTTTAGACTTAGATATTCGCTTGGTTAGATGATTATGTGAGGTCAATGAAAAAGAAATGACGGTTCGGTGAACATAACGACGGGTGTAATTTATTTGAAATAATAGAATCAGTTTGGTCTTGATGCTTGAAAAGACAGCATTGGTAGATCTGTGACTTAGTAATCAAGTTTCTTTAAGTTCGATAGTATTTTGAAATGGAATTGTTATGGAAGTAACTCCAATAAAAAGGAATGAAAGGAAGGAATTATTTGGATAGTATCTTTTAATGTACTTGGGAAACCTACAATATTAACAATTACAATTGTGTCTTTTACTAGCGAGTTCAACAGAGAATCTTTCAGATTATTTGAGACTGATTGTGCGATGCCTCTGAAACACAATTCTGTATATTTAACAAGTTTATTATTCATCACAGCAAATTTATTATTCACACACTTCTTTGTTCTAAAAGTATAGATAATAATAAATAGAACATGTTTCTCATCAATTTAATAGTTGTTTCCTTTTTAACACGGCTACAAAAAATGCATGATAATTGCTAAATTCAGTAATCGTTGCTCATTTTAAATATTCTTGCCATTGTTGTCATTCAATGATTATTTAATTATTTTTGAATGACTACCACAAACCTCACTTTTTGATTCCACCCAATACTATACATTATTATACTTGAAAGGATCGTTCATTGAAAACATTTCATGGTTTTAATAAGTTCACAAAATTGCCCATATTTGAAATAAAACAATAGGTTTGAAGTCATTCAAAACTATGTCATATATATTACATTATTTATAATATATTACATTTATAAAATTGTTTCAGTGAACGATCCATTTTTTAAAATATATTACATTTATTTAATTTTATGATGTTTCCTAAAGCAAGGAAGAATGGACCATAAAATATTATGAACTACGCTTTAAGGAACTTTTTATTTCGAATACAGTATTACGCGCTTGTTTGAGGGAATAAACCTCGAAACAAGCACGGTACTGAACAAGTTCACTAAACGAAGGTAGTAGAAGAGCTAGGTCACAGTGAAAGCGCCGAAATTGAGAACAGATGCCTACCAGTGCCTAGCGCTCGACGTTAAAGCCTGGTCCACACTTTTTATAAAGCGACTGTAATGAGATTTCCCACTGTGTAACATAGTCAGAAACGAAACGACATTCCCTGTAACATATAATGAACCGAATTTCCTTATGTGTTGCGTTCTCAAGCCAAATGTTGAAATTATGCGACGAAAGTTTCTACTAAGCCCCGTCTACGCTCTAACAGACGTTACCTAAGTGACAGTAGGTTAGACTTATATAGATGCAGCTAAGCTAAACGTCACCTTTATGGTAGAATTATGTATACATATAATCTTTTCTTTTTATATACTCTGCATTGTTTTTTCTATCTTCTTGTTTTTTGTTACATTTATGATACTATATTATATTAAGATCTTATTATTATAATTTCGGTATGTTATGTTTCACATTCTATTAATAGAACTATTACTATACTGTAACAATATTTTGAGTAGAATTTGCTGAATGTCATTCGGAAATGTTGGTATTTCGAAAATAAATTTTACATTGCACTTCGTGTACCGTAGAAACTTCTCGAGCCAGAGGAAATGCATTCCGTGGTCTTTGAGGTCAGATTACGAGAGCGTTCATTTGCTTAACTGTTTAAGACTATCGGCAAACTTGGATTATCTCTTGATCGATGTCGTCAACGAGCTCCTGGGGGCACTGAAAGCCTTCAGGGGCCTTCCGAGGAAGACCTCGAGATTCGATGTTAAAATTATTTCGCCAACCGCAAAACGGTAATTTAGATGTTCGGGGGTAGACAACATTATTCTGCAAAGAAATTATTCTCAGTGCTACGTGAACATCTAGATTTTTCACTGATGTAAAAATAACTAGAAAGAATAAATAGACACTAGATTGTGTGACTAAAATAACTCCGTGAGAAGCTTATATTTCGCTACGCGCTCCGATTGGTACAGGTTTTTCATTAATGTCTCGTTAACAAAGCCTTGGACAACATATTTGCTAAGGAAAAACTTGTTCCAAGTCATCTCACGAGTCTCCCATTTCCGGGTTCTCCAACATTTTTATTACACCCAGTATTTAAATGATTGATTAACGTCTTTCTTTTGTAAATAGTTGTTCATTCTATGCACAGAAGTTTCCCTGTATAGTAAACTTCAAATGTTGATGGAAAATTACACATTTCAAAATGATTTGTGAAGTCTGGAATAAAATAGACATTTCTTCCACCTCTTAAGGATTCTATGGAACCAAAAATAATATAGAAGTTATTATAACATATGCTTAAAGTTTTATATTTCATTACATTTCGAACAATTCTACATATTATAAATGCATAAAATCTACTCATCAGTATAGTCTACGCTTTTCATTTCAGTTCATAACTCTAACTGTTACAATTTCTTACATATCCTTCTTCATCCATCTCATCACAAACACAAGTCACCATCTACTATTCATTCTCATTTTCATACAAATTAAACGTAATTGTTCCTCCATCCCCTCTTTCTTTTTCTTTTCCAATCCTTCCCTTTCTCCTCCCCATCCCCATCTGACCGCTCCACCTTCATCCTGTACCGGCAAATCAATTATTAACCTTTCCCAAAAGAAAAACCACCCCGAGACCATTTATTATCCTCCAGAAAAAAACCACTCCCATCCCCAAGTAGTTCTCTCGCTCCATTGACCAACATCGATACGACTTTTTCAGAAACTTGAGCAAGACGATGACAACGAGTATCTCGACAGCCCCTGGGCCGACGGCAGCAGTCTGAAGCGGCACTTTCAAGGTCTGAACAACATCTCGTGGAAACCGCACTAAAGTGACCCAGGAAACGGGGACGGGAGGAATCGCGCAGGAGGGAAAGAAAGAGAAAGATAGAAAGATAAAGAGAGATGAGTAGGGGAGGATAGGTTCTAACGTAGCTTATTGAAGTTACCGGCCGCGGACAGCCAATATTCTCTCGTCGACTAACAAGAGGAACGAGGGAAGAAGGAAGGGAAGAGGAAGAAGCAGACGACGAAGCAACCGAGCGCTAATAACGGGCGAACTCTACCAGGAAGCAACAACGTAGCTGCCGGAATTTTCACGGAGTCTACCGGAAAAGACAGAGAGAGAGAGAGAGAGAGAGAGAGAGAGAGAGAGAGAGAGAGAGAGAGAGAGAGGAAGAGTGAGAGAGGTCGACACGATGCTCAACGCCGCGGTTTTCATGGCGAGAACGGGGACGTCGATTTGCGTCCATGTCCACGGGCGTTCTCTCCTCCAAACGATCCACAGAGATAAAAAGACGGGTGATCGATCAGTGATCCAGAGTGTATTGTACGACGTAGCATACATAGTATTTAAATACGCCCGCACCGCTGTCGCATAATTGTCCCTGCCCCCCTCCTCCTGTACGCGCTGATCACATCATCCATAGAGATATAAACAATATTTTGTGACCGACTTTTTTCTACTCGATAACCGGCCGTGCCGCGACACCAACCGTCTCCGATACGGCGGACCACCGCGAGATAGCAGTTCCGCCGATCGATCGAATTCCGTCGAGGACTCGTCCATCCCGGCCGATCCGTGCCCGTGTAAAACGGTCGAGTGATCCAAACGAGAAATATTATACATTTGGATCCGCTCCCGATATACCGTTGCCGGGCGTACACTGGTCGTCTCCTAAAGGGTACTTCCGAAACATCGAAGAAGAGTCTTACTTGCAAATTCCACTATCCGTTCTACTCGACACCGTCGGGGAGAAGCTGACGATAGAGGGGCGTGGGGGGAGGGGAAGTCGATCTCATAACGTTTCGTATCATTGCTGGTTCCACGGAAGAATTGTCGAATCGGGTCTCCGTGGAACGTTTGTGCATCGAGAACGTTGTTAAACGGTAGAAAACGATGTTCTCGGATGGTCCAACAAGACACTCGATGACCGAGGAACTGTGAAACTGTCAAGCTTTACGTCCAGTAAACCATTTGTCCGCGATCTTAGTAAACCGTTACGAATCGACTATGAGGGAAATGGGAACACTAACGCGCAACCGCGACGCGCAGATCACGTGACTGATGAAGTCCCCGCGCGGGCTATACCCTTGAATGTGTCCTAGGGATTGGAAAAAAAAGGAAAGGAACATCGATGTGTCGATACAACTGTCATCGACCAATTACTGTCGATGTTAATCGATACATTGGTAATAAAACGTCGATGTTCGTGCCATCGATATGTTTTTAAGTTTGTTTAATGAATTTAAATCTATATTTTCATTTCAGAGCTCAGTTTATTCAATATATTTTCTTTCATAAGTACAATTTTTATCGAGTGAACTAGTTAAACATACCAATTTGTTGTTGATCAAATACCATTCCCGACAAACAATTTTTTCGTTGAGTTAGTGTCAAGACAACTTTCGAAATATGTCCATAAAATAATCTATAACTGATTTTACACCTTTCGAACTTATGTCAACTGTAATTCCGTTCCCTATTACATTCAGTTTCATTCAAACTTCGCGCCTGTTGAGCTGCGTCTACGCTATAATAACATAACGCGTTACATAGCGACGTTCTACAAGTTGTTAGAAAAACAGAAAGAAAAATGTTATATACCATGATGTTACGTAACATTTTCGTGTTATATAGCAAGTTATGTGTTATCCATCAAATATGACGTCATTATTAATAATGAGACGCGAAATGTTATACAAGCTCGTTATGGACTTGTCCAAAAGGTATAATCTTGTAACAAGTTATAAAACATGTTGAATAGCAAGATTATACAACACTTTGTTGTACAGGATGTCCCAAAATGATGGGACAAACCGCAATATGCATATTCCTCATGCAAATTCAAATCGAAAAGTCCTTTACCGTTTTGTAATCTGATGCTCCATTTCGGAGATATTAGCAGTTGAACGAACTCCATTAACTGAGCGGTCGGCCACACGTACGCGTAGACATAGTCAAGAATCGGAGGCCAGTCAGCTGGGTCACGCGCTTCTTAAATATACCTGCGCGTGCGTGTGGCCGACCGCTCAGCTGATTCTAGTTCGTTCAACTCTTAATATCTCCGAAATGAGGAGCTTCAGATTACAAAACGGTAAAGGACTTTTCCATTTGTACTTGCACGAGGACTATGTATAATATGTAGACGCAGCTTAAAGTCCATGAAACACACTCAAGCTTCATTCGAAAACTATCAAAATAACATCGATGGTAAAAACATCGACAGGAAACATCGATGTTTTCAACATATCGATACATCGTTGCCATTCCTAGTTACACTCGCAGTATATTAACCTCAACGGGTTGACAAAACACTCTACCGATTCTTTAACCGGCCACTTTTATCGAAGCTTCCCACCGTGTCCCTGAGACTCTGTCCGCCGGCGTCACATTATTTGTATATGCAATCGATGTTCAAAGTCGCTTCGTCATTTCCGCGGCCAGTAGAAGATAGTTCTAGGGATATTTCGAAAGCTTTACGGAATCAAACCTCTACGGTGTCGATATTTATACCCGATCCCGCACACGCGTCGCAGCGTTCTCTCCGTCAAGATTCGCGATACCTCCATCGGGAACGACACAATAGATCGAGCTATGTATCTCGCCGCCGTGTGTGTTCAGGTGTGTCGAGTCGATTCCATCAAGAGAACCGCCTCTGGCTCTCCCCCCGCCGCGAGAAACTTCCGTGATCCGATGTCACGTGAACGCCAAGTCCTGCCGTGTCCACGACAGCGGCCATGCTCGATGGCGAACTTCGTCCTTTCTTAATGTGGAAAACAATGTCCTTTCTTCGCGTGAATCACACTCTGTGTCACTCGTCGTGAAACTGTTCGATGATATCTCGAAACGATTACAAGCGAGGTTTGTAAAATGGGAGGAGAGAAGCCGGACGATCGCGTCGCTCGCCGTGTACTTAGATAGCTTAACGAGTGAATTCACTAATTCTAAGGCGTACCGTTTACCAATTAATAAGTATTACTAAGTTAATCCGCTTGCTGTGTGTGTGATCATGACGCATCCGAGATACGACAAAATCCGCCGTGCATCGTAGACGAGCACATGCCACCAAAAGGCACTCGATACACACACGTTCGTTCTCACTGTGCCGCTACAACACGCTTCTGATCCGGTGTCATCCAGCGAGTGTGCGATCCGCTGGACCAAAAATTGCACTTTGGGGGGGCGCGACTATATCCCCCCCGTGGCTACTCGGTTTTCGTGTTTTTATAGTGGAGAATTTGAAGGATGAAAATGGCAGATTTAATGTTATATTGTGGAGGGGAGTTTGAGGTTCGGAGGGGCTGGAGGTTGTTTGGCGTTCTTCGGATGGGGGCTGATTTGTGTCTAGTGTGAGTCTGTTATTAGACGAACAGCCAAGCTTCTCAATTACTTGATACTGTAATATAATCGTTCCTTGTATTACTGAAATTAGTGGCGTTGATGGTATGAGTAAAGGGTAGGTGAATTTTGGTGACATAATATTTACAGAGATAGGAAATGCCAAGGTTGCAACAGGAATAACAAGTCTCTTCAATTATGCTTATGGTATAGCTTCTTTTATTTACTAAATATTGTATTGGTGGAAAGATATGGTTGTATTTGATCCGATATTATTCTTTGTATTCCTGAGTCTGGAATTGATTTTACAATATACAGTATGAATATACAGGATTTAGCATGAACCGTGTTTATATACAGGGATTATTATACATTAGCGATATAGTCACGTATATAACTTACTTACGTATAATATTTGACGTATGAAGGATATTAACAATGTCAATTGAATTATTAATAGAAAATCTACAATTATTAATCAACATCCATATTTGATGATGCATTCATTTCGATGTTCAGTTAAGTACGTACCTATTGAGGTACTAGAGTACTTCAATAAATGTGTCAGATTGATTACCGTCCCAAACAATATTCATAACAGCGACTGCAATTATAAATGCTACTTTAGCACTTGGTTCAATAACTGTTCAGGTACCACTGAAATGTTCAACTCAGTACAATATCTCTTCTGCCAATATTTGACAGCCTGATAAAATATTAGAAATTGTTTCTGAAATAAATATATGTCCCACAATCTTCTGTCACATCAGACCATCAAAGTTCGGAAAAATTCAAAATATTAAATTACACAAAAAGAAAATTGTTCAAATTTCAACAAAACTGGAATTATATTACAAGTTTCGCATCAAGACTAATTTCGAATTATTATGACGATTACACATTCATCAATATTTCAACAATCTACAATTTACCAAAGGTTCGACACGCCGCATAAATCAGCCCCTACGTTTCGAACGTAAAACGGTACAATTGTTTCACGAATCGTTCGGGTCAAGTTTGTCGTGTTCGAAAGAAGAAAACAGGAAATCATTATTTCTGGCGTCGCATTACGTCCTCAGTTTAACGAGGAACACCGTGCCCCATAGAACAATTCAACGTGCGAAATCTGAAAACGCGCGTTGCCCGTCGGAAATAAATCGTGAGTCCGGAAGCTCGAGCCCGCGGGTTACGTAAATAAACGGGGTGCGCAACTTGACGCGGGCTGGTAAAACAAGCAACAGTAGTTTTACGCGGCCTGGTTGCCGCGCGTGAATCGATACGAGTGGCGCAGAACCGGGGCGAACCTTCACCCCTGAGATCGATGGGGAAAAATTGATGCCTCGAGAAATTGTCGGCTCCCCCTCATGCTTCGTGCTCGATTCGCTTCAGGGGGATTTTCGCTTAAAACGTATTAGAATTCGTCCTACTATTAGATATGTGTGCGGATTCTACGAGTCACGAAAGATCAGAGGCCCTATATTGATCGATTGGAAATACGTAAATTGCGAATATGTAACAGGATCATTACATTTATGCAGAATTTTGACAGGAAAGATAATTTTGTGATTTATATGCTATTCCAATAACTGTTTCGTTTTCGTGCTGCCAATTAAAATGTTTGAAATTGCTTTGGAATTCACGGTGAAATTGATCGTGGGAGAAATTATTCAAGAATAATTACCGAATCTATGATTTTGGTTAACAGTGAAGGTGTAGGCACACTTTTAAATGAAATGTTTTGTGACCAGAAACGAATGTATTAAAGTAATTCATTAGTCTTTAATATGATGTCCCTGGAACATCCTACGTCATTTTTATATAACAAAGTATTGTCAAGATATTCCTAATTCATTCAGCATTGTTATTATTCAAACAAAAAGTTATTATTCGTTTATACATTCAATAATGTCAGTAACTAAATTCACTTTCTACTTCTAACCCTTTATGACCGGCAGAACTTTTACCGAATCTGTTACTTTAAAAGATAAAATGTTAAAAGCAGTAACAGAAGGTAAATCATTATTACTGGCATTCAAGAAAAGAGTCATTTTCCATAAAAATAACGGCAAATCGCGCAAATTTCGAGAACGAATATTGACCAGGAACGATTGCATCGGGGTTGGAAAAATTTATGCCAAATCCATAAAAAGTATGTCATTCGTCTAAAAAGGTATCTCTGGATATAGGCAAAATAGTTCTGAAAATTCTCATCAACCAGAGACTATTTT